CACCTTTTTAAAGTTTAGGTTTTAAATTGCCCCTGAATGTATAGTTCAGAGTTTAAATTGATATTTAACCCTAAACTTTATTTTCGTGTGTATTTAAGTCTCCAAACCTTATTTGATATATGAATAATCCTCTAAACTTTAAGTTATGTACAGATAATTAATCCACAAAATTACTACAAAGTTTTAAAAGGTTAAAAAAATTATATGTACATAGTTTAAAATTCAAGAAAATAATGAAAAATTTAGCCATGAATTTAAAATAAAGATCATGAGTAGAAAAGGTACACAAGTATGACCGAATTACTTGTTTAGATATCTTTAACGTTGCACACACGAGAAAATTATTAAGGAAACAAGGGCAATGCTTTTCAGCCAAAATGACATGAGAAAATTCTTAATTATAAGTTCCATAACAAAATAATTAGTATTTGAACACAGAATGATGAAAATTTTGGGCCGTTTCCCTTTGACCTCACTAATACTAAAGAAAACTAATTCATTATATGAACAATGCTGGTCGATGATTTTAGCGCGGTCATATTTACGATTTACGTGATAAAAATATATAATAATAATGCAATATATTGGGAGAATGAGATTAAAGTTCCTAAATAATAAATTTATGACAGTTAGGTCCTTGAAAAATTTTTTATAAAATTAATTATAAATATTAATTTAAATACTTACAAATTCAAGGGTTTCAACTGCAGTTATAAATTTTAATTTTAATTTGCAATTGAAATTCCTTGCAATAATTTGAAACAATGTTTATAACTTATTTTTCAAAAAATTTTATTAGAGATCTAATTATAATGAATTATTTATTTTGAGACTTTATAGTTATAAATTGTAATTATATAAGCAATTGGTTTGGGTGTCTTGTATATAAATTTATCGAGTGCATAGATTCAATATTTACATGATATACATTATGAATAATATTCTCTAATTATAAGACATTTTGAGATAAGATCATACACATAAATAAATTTTAAATTTTAATAATGACACTATACAGATTTAGTTTTTCAAAATAAAAAAATATAAACTTATAAAAATACCTTTCATTTTGATATAACTTTAAATTTGTATACATTTAATCATTACATTGCCATCAATTCAATTCTCTCTTTGCTTGAAAGACAACATTAAAAAAATATCATTAATAAAATTTTATTTTTACTAAACTGTCATATATTTTGAAACAATAAAATACATTTAGTTATGTTTAGATTAACGAGAATTTAAATTTATATCAAATCCCTCATTTGGATAAATAAATTTTTATAGACCTGGATTTGATTCAATTCCAACTCTATCTCTTATTACCTTTCATTTGTAATTTAAACTTTCTTCCATGCTCCAATCACTTGATATTTTAATAACTTGAAGAGTCTCATTTTCATTTTCATTTTATTTTTACTGTTGATGTCTTTATAACTTTCATATCTTTTTTCATCTTTTATAGATTAAAAGATATAGATAAGCTCATCACTCTCTATTTTTTATTTTTATCTTGAATTTTAACCCATCTATCTTTTTCATTTAAAATAATTTTAAACTATTTAGATAAATAATTTTAAATACATGAATTCTGGATATGAGTTTTGAAACATAAGATTTTAAAATTAAAATTTAAATCTCAATCTATCAATTCAAATGTTATGTCAAAGTCGTCTTAAAATCTTATAGTTTCAAATAAAAGTATTTATTTTGAAGCAACATACTAGCATGTAGAAAAATCTAGGCTGGATGGCAGAGGCAATATAGAATTGACTAGTCGCAGAGCTGCTACCAATGGTTCATGCACCACCACATTCCCTTCATTATTGTTCCTTTCTGGCCACAACCACTAGATTACCTCCCCAGTCAAACTGATATTATTTCCGCTTGTTTGGATTCACCAACGTTTACATCTAATTTCATACTTTTTTTAATACAAAACAAAGTTTAAATGAGTTGAGACTCATGCTTGTCAGATCAGATGAGTGTTTTTAAATTTTAAAAATATTTATTTCCCATACAAACCGGCCATTAAAAAAATCATATCAGCAATACATGAATTTGTAAATTACTTATTAAATTATTATTAATTGAATCAATATTTGTTAGGAATTTCACACATTTTTATTCATGTATTTCATCATTCCATCAATGCGTGTTTAGAACATACAATGAATATGATCCTCTAATTAATAAAAAATATTCCATAGCTTTTCCACTTCAAATATTTATTGACAATTCATCTTCCCTCTTTCTTTTCCACTTTTCCACCTTCCATAGTGACAAGTAAAAGTGAATTACATCATGATATAGCCACGTAATACATGCTATTTGCCTAAAAGAAATATTCCCTCCACTCAAGATATTTTTTATAATATTTCACCTTTAATAATATAATTATTTACTTTTAAATTAATTTTATATTTTTATATTTACCTATATTAAATACCTTACAATAAATATAAAGACAATATTAATAGTATTATTTTTTAAAAAAAGATAATGATTACATTTCAAAGGACTAAAAATGCCTTATATTTTTTAACATCCAACTTTTTAAAAAATATCTTACATTTTTAAATGAAAGAAGTAGATAAAAACTTATATATTTAACCTTATATGCTTAACATGCTTATTTTTAATTAAATCAAGACATATATATCTACTATAAATCATTTATTATACAATAATTTTTTATTATTGATATTATTAATATATTAAAATTCACATATCTTCACTCCATTAAATGAAAGTATATTAAATATATAAAAATAAATATATAAATTTTGTCTAAAAAAATAAATCACAAAAATGTTTTGAGTCTCCAGCCATGAAATTGACCCTAAAAGTTTTACCAGCTCCCGCACAAATCTTGGTGCTCATTGAGCCATATCCATTATTTAAAAAAAAAAAAAATCACTGCTGCCCCTGCCTTAGCATTTCCTTTTTCCTTCCTCCAATGGCAATGAAAGTAATACTTTTTCCTCCCACACTATAAAACACTTTTAAATAAAATTTTATATATTAATAAATTTTATTAAATATATTTAATAACTTTATTTAAAAAAAAATATAAAATTTTAAAAATATTATTTATTTAATAACTTTAAATCTATACTTAATTAGTATTAAATAAAAAGAGAAATGAATGTATTAAAATAAACTTATTTAATAAAATTTTAATCTTTTTAAATTGTCATATATTTTGGAGTGGAATTTTTTTAAAAAACATATCTTATAATTTGAGATAAGGGAATAATATTTTGAAAGTTTCGACACAATATTATCTGACGTTATGATACCAGATAAAACTAATTTTGTTCATCTGTTTTTAATTTTTGCATTTCTAAACTTCAATTTTCAACCTATTATTAAAATACTCTTCATAAATAAAGCACGCATGAGTGGGAAAAAAATATCCAAGTAAAAAGCTCTAAAGAAAACTTATCTAACTATAAAGAAAATTTTTGTTTCCAGAGATATTTATATATACTAAACATGTTCCCCAGCATTACTTAGGATGAACGATGAAGAATACATTCACGGGCCGTGAGAATTAAGAAATGGCTTGGCCCAAAAAAAAAACCCGGGGGGGGGGGTGTTGAGAAATGGGAGTTGCGTTGAAAAAATTGTTTCATAACTAAAAGCAAATTAAAGGTAAACAAGCTTTATTAATTATGCCTATTCTAATATTACTGTCTCTTTCCCATCATATTTTATCTCTCTATTTAATATTTCACAAATAATATTATATTAATCTTTAAAAATTTATAATTAAATTTTAAAAATAAAATTATAAAATTTATTTAACTAATTTTTAATGCATATAATTTTATAAAAAAATATCTTGTAAATTAATCCAAGAGTAGTATTTAATACTTGATCATATTAATAAGTTATTTTTATTAAACTCATTAATATCAATGCAAACAAAGGTAAAAGAAATAAAAGTATATAAAATTTTAAATATGCTCTCCATATAACAAATCTAAAAAGTGATACTCCACCCGTCCCAAATTATAGGACACTTTTGAAAAAAATTCGCTTCAAAATATAAGACACTTTGAATAAATTAAAATTTTATTAAATGCACCAATTCTAATATTACCTTTTTCCTCTCCATAATTAATTTTTATCCATTCTCTTTTCAATACATTAAATGATATTTTTTTAAAAGTTTATATTTTTGTTTTGAAAAGATAAGGTTGTTAAGTGTATTTAATGAGGTATATTGGTATGTAAAATTTTATCTAAAAGTGTTTTGTAATTTGAGACGGAGGGAGTATCATATTATTTTTTCTCTTTTATGAAAGATAATTTTAAAAATATCTTTTAAATATTACCTAAAAAATCAGACCCTAACTTATAACTTTAGAATTAAATAAATATTTTAAAATATACCTTATAAATAGGACTTGAGGGAATATAGCAATAAGATATTCCATAACAATGTTGTTAAACTCACAAGTTTAAGGAAACTCATGATAAAGATGTAAACTTGAAATGTACACTTGAATCATAAATTCATAAAAGTTTGCTTGTATTAATAAATAACTTTTAAAATTAAATCTATCTACGTTCAAAGATTATTATACTTATTAACATAGAAATTTTAAAATAGGGCAACTTTGTTTTATATTTTTTATTTTCTTTTTTATCAATATTAGTTTTGTTTTTTTTAATCTTATTTTTTATTAAATCGGATCCTATCATTTTTATAAATCAAGTTCTACATAATATATATTTATTTTACTTTATGAATTTACGAGTAGAATGATAAGATTTTATAAGTTAGAAATGTGAAAATGATAAATCTAAAAAGTCAATTCATGAGTTTAATTGAAATTTATCTAATTTAAATTTATAATTGAGTTGATATAATTTTATAAATTAAAAATAAAAAAATAATGAAATAATAACTTCAACTTAAAAGCTTGATAACAATGCTCCATAGCGCATCAATATAAAATCACTACGTCAGTCGTGAGGACAGTAAATATCCAAGGGGTAGTCCGTGAAATTAACGACAGAAGTCAAAGACAGAAATTAAAAAAAAAAAAAGAAAAAGAAAGAAAAGATAGTCGGTAAATTGATAATCACAATAATTGTGCCACACTAATAATACGGGTTAGTAACAGTTGTGGTGGTGTGTGCGAGACTGGGGGGATCCACAATGCCTGGCATTTCGGGAAACAAGTCAATCACAAATTAAAAACTTGAAAGTCTTTGATTCACCAAATGCGGTAGATTCCAATTCCTCCTGCGCCATCCAATCACAATCCCCCAAAGTGACTGCTGCTTCGGAGTCTTGGAAAAGCATCCAAAGTTCCCCCATTCTGTAATTACTGCCCCTAATTATTGGTTTTCAAAAGCTGATTAAGGGCTGATGTAGCATTTCTCCGCTCCTTTATGACCGCCTCACTCCACTCCCCCAATTCAACGGCTCACATTCACTCCTCGCTTTTTGGCTCTGATTTTTATCTCCCTCCCCTTCACTCCATTCTGCCCTCTCCAGCCTTTCCTTCTCCTCCTCCATACCAATACCCATTACACAAAACCTGCGACAACATGTTGTTGGGCAAGAGACCTCGTCCTCCGATGAAGAGAACCACCAGCTTATCGGAGATTCCCTTCGATCTGAACGTCGCCCCCGATGCCCCCCAAAACGATCCTAACTATAACCCTAACGGCAGGCCATCATCTGATGTTCCACGCAAGCATCCAGGTGTCTCCAATTGGTTGGATCAGAGGGTGTCGCCTGCAAGCCGTAGAAGGCATTCCATGGATCCCGTCCAGACTGCCGACTTCCTTCGTGCTTGCTTTCTCTGCAAACGTCGCTTGATACCCGGCCGTGACATCTACATGTACAGGTACATATCTATTTCCCTCTCCCCCAACTGGCGGTCTTTCCAATTTGTTTAGTTTATAAACTCGCAACCCCTTGGATTTGTAAATTCTTTCCCGGGAAACGGGTGTATATGCCCCGGATTTACCATGAATCGGATCCAATACGCGATGTATCGTGGTCGTCTTCTTGAATCTCACGGACTTCATTTTCTTAAACAGTGGATTGTGAATATTGAATATAATTTGCAGGGGTGACAGTGCTTTCTGCAGTCTAGAATGCCGTCAACAGAAGATGATTCAGGATGAGAGGAAGGAGAAGCGTCGTGTGGTATCCAATAAACAAGCCGTGGCTCCGCCTTCTGAATCTCAGGTCTCCGCCGAAGGAGAAAGCGTGGCTGTCTTGTAATGCCACAGATTCACGGGACACAGTATCCGAAGATGTTCCCAGCTACGCGACTATGCCGTCAAGTATCTCAGTGAAATATGCTTTATATGCACTCTCCTCCCCCCTCACGCCATCTTCTCCTATCTCCCTCCCTTTGTTTTGTAAATTTCACCCTTCTGTTTTTTTGTTTTTGTGGAGAGTGAGAATTGCCTGCTTTGCCAGCTTGTACTGGGGCAGCTGGGCAGCTATTTTTTGATGTACCTTGCAGTTTCCTTGGGATTTTGATGTCTTCTTCGATTAATGCTATTTCTGTTTCTTGTCAGCTGTCACCATTAAGAAGAAAACTGCTTTCATTTTTTTGTCATTTAGTTCTCCTTTTACAGTAAAATGCCGTGTGTGTGTCTTGACATCAAGCTCGTAAGCTGTATAAAAAAGCTCAAGTGATCATCCACTACTGTGACGGGGAGTGATTGGTGAATCTGAAGACATGAACGAGAATTATACTTTCAAGGATTTAAATTTGAGTTCCTGACTAGGAAACGTAGGTAGAGATTATAGTTTTAATAATTAATTTTCTTACTTTGTTTATAAATTAGAAAGAGAAAAATTACACGTTATATTTCACGAACAAGAACAAATTTTGTGAATAAATTAGAAGTACCTCCATAATAGTTTGCCAGGGTCGCTCTCCCTCGCCGCCGTCTTAGCCCTGAGCAACTGGAGTTATTCCCAAAAAATCGTCTCCTCTACTGCAATAATCAACTTATTCCTGTTGCCTGCCGGAATATCCAGCCTCTTGCTGTCGAAATAGTATTACTCCGTCATCTCCTCCCCAAAGCTCAACATCTTCGGTCGCTACAAACCTCTTCATGCGAATTCTGTTAACAGATTAGAGACTTCCAAAGGCAGTCACGGGCACTTTGACAAACGATTCATTCCACGTGAGGATCTTGGTCCTTATGAGTACTTTTCTCAGAAGCTGGTCTTTTGTGCCAATTAAATCCACTGTGAGTTCCTTTTGACCAATTTAATTAATTAGAAAGGAGGAGAGACGAGAAGAAGAGTGCTGGGAAAGGATTTTAATTTGTGGAGTAAGGGGAGGAGACCTCGGAGGTACGCGGCGGTGGGGATGGCCTTTGGGTGGGAGTCGGGGACCACTAACGGTGATGACTGATGGGTTTATAGGTACGTAGCACATTGCCCAACGTCTTTTGTTGCCCACCGTACCCTTCATTTCATTTCACTCTTCTTCTCCACGCTTTCCCGTCAACATCACTCTCTGGTCTCTGTCCCCTCCCCTTTCCACTCCCCCACCCCAAAAAAAACCTACCTTCCCTTCTCGCCTTACCATTTTATACTTCTTTTTGCATCATACATGTACTCTGCCTTCACACTAGACCTGATAAATATATGGGTTAATGTGTAAAAATATTTAAAACTTTTTTTATTTTTTATTTTTAAGTCCACAATTATATGTGTATACTTATTAATTTTATAAAAAAAGACTAACATTTCTCAATCTTTTATAAAATTAATTGTTATTCATGTATTATTATTGACTTAAATATATCATAAGCTTTTGGTAAAAAGGAAGAAGAAGTTTCCAATATTTCTGCAACTTCACCCTGAATAGACCGTGCCATACAATGCCACATAAGCTAAGATCCAAACCCCTGCCCAAGCTGCTCTCTTGATACACATTAGTATCAGCTCAGTTTTTTTAAAAAAAAAAACTGTTTTGATTTGTCTGATGAATACCTTATAATTAGTCATTTATTAATTTTTCAATATGTAGAAGTCTGGGTCGCGAGCACATTATTCCGGCGCTTTGGGCTGTTTGCACTTTGCACAGAACTCATGGAGGGAGAAAACATGTTAACTTGTTGTGGACGTCATGGGGCTCCAGAGAGTCTTGAATTACATAGAGCTCACGTTCCGATTTTAACGACTTGGAGACGACTTTCTTCTCTCACCACTTTCAATTTCTATCACTTTATCAAGTCTCCGCTTTTTGTGCATAAAATTGCCTCAGGAGGGGAAAAAGAAAAGGAAATTCTATCTTTTTTTCTATTCAGTACAAGGCCACAATAAAATTATATAAAAAAATTAAAATCAGGCAATGCTAAAAATGATAAGGCTTATATAATCACTAGGTTGATTGTCAAATAAACAAATATTAAAGGTATTGGTAGAAGTCTTGTGGGTTATGAGGTCGACGCACTTGTTAATTTCTCTATAGGCGTGATCAAAAGTTATCTCCCAATTAAGCATAGTAAGATTTTTGATGTTATTAATCATGGCAGAAAGATGATGACCATGAGGAGAACTCCAGTCGATGAGAGATAAGGCTTTTATAGAATTAGAGTATACGTTTGCTTTAAAAATCTTAGCATTCCAATAAAGGTTGAGACCTTTCAAGATTTTTATTAATTTCGTAGTAATGCTAGGTTGGTAGCCAAGATTTTTAGAAAATCTTTTGATCCAGTTGCCTATGTCATTCTTGATAAGACTACCACAAGCCATAACTCCATTGATAAAACCATCAATGTTTAATTTAACCGAACTTGGATTTGGCAGAATCTAATTAATTATATTCGGGTGTCATATTTCCTTAGAAGATTCATTTTGGATTGAAGTTTATTGTCATTGATGATTTGTTGTGTGCATGTGAAAGTAATAGCATTGTCCAAAGTGTTATCTTCAAAGTAAATTTTATTATATCTGACTTTTTATATATTCTAACAGGTTTGTGCCAAAAATTTCTATCATGGCAATCTTCTCATAGACTTGCCAGCCTCATTTTTCGCATTCCACAGAAAGGGAATTCTATTTTGAGTGTATTGGCATAAAAGAACCCCCGTGCCTCCACCAGTCTTTGCTTCTCCCGGTCTTTTTCAGCCGAACGTTGGTTTTATTCAAAGGCTTGTGATTGTTAACGAGAGGTGCGTTAATTTAGAAATATATGTGTTCAATCCAAATCTTGATTCGCTACTTTCGATATATGAAATCAACACAATATCTATAATTTCCGATGACTTGGGGGAGAGAGGCTTGTTTTCTAGAGAAAGCCGTCTTTTAATAAATTTAGTTTGAATATAGGCTTTAAATTTCATGTAACGTAGAGAGAATTGTATTTAGTTTCTTCTAAGTAATTAAAAATACAATGTAACTTATTACTCGAGCTACGTTAATACGTGAAAAAAAATTGTATGCTTTCATGTCTAGAGTACTCATATCTATGCTGGTGTATAGGAGTGTTCAGAGTAATCTGAAATTTTTTTAATGAAAAAATCTGCTTGTGGATCATGTCAGCTAATTATAATTAGAAGAGAAAATTAAATATATCCGCTCAAAAGCAGAGAAAGACATATGTAAGAGGTCCTCAATTAGGCAATGATTACTAGCCAGGTCATTGGCTCAGTGTTTCACAGACAGGATGTCCAAGCACCGTCAGGAGCCTGAAAGCTAATGCCAATCAATCGATGTGATTTAAGAAAATCTCACTTGTTCGTACAGTCAATTCAGGAGGAGGCGCACTGGATAAAATTTTGCAATGACACTGTGTTAGCAATATTAATGTAGTGCCTAGTGAATATAGCATATATGGTAGCGGTCAAGCTTCATTTCAAGGTGTAATTTTTAAAAATGTGCATGAAAAACATTATTTTAAAAAGGACAATTTTTTAAATGGTGTTTCAATTTTTTTAAAAATTAATCTCACGATCACCGATTACAGGATACTTGAGCAATTGAAAAAAAAAAAATATTGAAGTTGGTGTCTTGTTACTAGTTAGACTTGTCAAATATTTTACTGGATATTCGAAATTTATCAATAAATAGTTTTACATGAAATATAAACATTATATGCTAAGTGAAGTTACCGATGAGCAAAAAATCGGTTCGTTTTTTCTTTTTTTTTTTTGGGATCGGTTTCTCACCTAATTAATCTCAGTATCGAACTGAACTCATGAAAAATAATGGAAAGTGTATTTTAAATAAAATCGTATATTTTGATATGAAATATGACATAAATCATATAATTATAACTCATTAACAAAGAAGTGTTTTTTTTTTTGGGAAGGTTTTACATTATTGCATTTAGAGAAGGATTGCATGCAGTGGTTGACTACTGGCTCCCAGTTTTTCTGAACCAAAAGTCCAAATCAGATATAACTGTTAAGCAATAATATTATGTCAAATTGCGCAAAGAGTCATGTCTCGTGACCCTCTGCATCAAAATCTAATTAACTAACTCCCCTACTTGACCCTTGATTATGACCGCCCCGCCCCTTATTTACTGACTTATATCATGCATTATTGCCATTGACTAGCCGATGTTGTGTGCATATTTATTTAATCAGAAGTCATCGTCATACTGAGAAAAGTAGTTGGAGAAAATAACTCACAAGGAATTAAATTTTAAGGAGATGCTAATTTTATAAGATATCTTTTGGAGTGATTTAATGTTCCGTAGTATAAATTATTTTGAAAATGATGATTTATTCTAAAGTTACTCATGATGAAATGTCTTTATTTCTATCTCCCTTGTTAAATGGAAGGTATATTTGAAAATTTATGTTTTTTTTTTAAATAAGATTCCAAAACTGTACGCATATCCATTTAATCGGTATTCATAATTTTATTAAAAAAAACATGTCATAAAATGAAGTAGAGGGAGCGCCAAAATGTGAGCAGGGTATTTTAATGGTTGTTAGAGCAGAAACACGGGAAAGAATCTGCTTAATAGATGATCATGACGGTGATGTTCTCTATTCTGAGCGTAAATTTAGTGATGTTCTCTATTCACGTGAACAGAAGATGACGGCCACCGGTCATGAACTTCTTAAGAAAACAGAAGGAGAATTTTTTGTGTCTGGCTGCCGCCGGGAGTGTGGAACAGTGGACGCCAATAGCCCTATATGCAGTACGGCGACTTCTAAATCATGTCTTCATTGGATGAGTTTGATCAGATTCATTTATCATTTCCTCTTATTTTACATAAACGTGCCCCGTACCACGTTTTTTTTTTTGGGGGCAGCGCCACATTTTGACAGACACTGTTTTTTTGGTACAGTCTGACACTTGCAATTTAAATTTATGTCTTATATCCCCCGACGTTTCAAGTGCCAGTCGTGCTTTAGCTCGTGGCCCAAGTTTAGGCCCAATGAGCCCAACTCCAGCGCCCGCTCCTGTTACTACTGCACGTTTCCATTTTCCGCAGCTTCCACGGCGGAAGGACCTGGACCTGGGCTGAATAAATATATAAAACTTGCGCAATGTGCCGTGACATCATTTATTAACAATTACTTGATTTGGACGTTTGGTTCAACAAGCTCGGGAGCAGCCTTTGCAATTTGTATGCAATCCTTGTATAAATGCAATATGAAACTTACAAAACTGTTTCATTAATTAATGAGTTAGCATGATATCCATTACTTTACATATAATATAATAAAAATACGGGTTCCTTTTTTTCCTTCGTATCAAAGTATGGGTTTCCCATACAGAAAAATTGAGATCGACTAAATGCATTATGTGATTTGTTGTCTATCGATTAATTATAATATTAATAATAATAGAAAAAAAATACAAGAAATTAAATATGCCTTGTGTTAAAAGAATAAAATTAATTAAAATACAACAACAACAACAACAATAAAATTAATTAAAATAATGTCACAGAAAATTGAAAAAAATAATCTTTCAACTTTCAATTCATGTATAACTCAATCTCTCAATTATAACTCACCGCTATTCAATTTCTTAACTTTTAAATCACTTATAACTTAGTCCTTATCTTTCAAACGTTTTTAAAAAATTATCCTTATCAATCAAGAGGGATAAAAGAAATTCTCATATATTGCTTTAAAATATTCTCCTTTTATTCTTTGATGTGAAATTTAAACTAACATGAAAAAATAAAACTAACAAAAACCGAGGGATTGAGTTATAAAGTAAGTCAAAAGTTAAGTAATCAAGTCATGGGTGAGTCATAGTTGAGGAATTGAATTATAACGAATTATAGTTGAACTTACAAGTTGAAGAATTAAAAAATTAATTTTTCAAAAATTCTATTTAGATGACTTGGGTCATTTTAATTGCACAGAAGACAAATGATATAGTGCACCCATTCTACCTAAGAATTTCTCTATACTTCATTTGTTTTTACATATGAAGGAAAATAAATGTCTCACGTAGTTTTAAAAAAATT